AGTTTCAAAGCAGAAAAGTACTTTTGCAAGTAAAATAATAATATACAGCTGTAATTCATCAGAAAATTATTTAGCAATAATGAAATAGTTCAATCATTTTGTAACCAATTACTGAACAATGTAAGAATTAGCAAAACAGTTCTGTAAATTTTACCTAACTGTTTTGTTATAACAACAAAACTAATTTAACAAAACCGAGTTTGTGTCCTAGTAACTATAGTTATAAAGTCACTATTTTTATGTAAAAGGTAACAAAAAATATGTAACTTTTTCAGTGTATACAGTAGTCAAGACATGCATTTGAATCTATTGTCATAACAATGAAATGGAAAATGCGACTAAGGAAAAATGTTAACACATTGGAAGACATCCAATGTCATTCCTCAAACATTGGTCAATAACAAGATCAACTAATTCGGAAGTAACAGCAGTACAAAGGAGCTCGATCTGCTGGTTGGTACATTAATATTAATGCCCTCCCTCCCACGTAGTTACTGGACACAGAGCACCCACTGGTCTCCAGTGAGACCAGAGCATACAAGGGCACCCAAGCCTAGATAATCTTGGCGCGTAACGTATGCGTGTGGAACATCCCCAGACTTCAGCCAACGGCGATAAATCGTTTCACCAAATTTGACTTCCGACTGTGCCGTCACGCGACGTGTCCAATCAAAACGCAGCTTACCCTCCCCGCATGCTACCAACTTGGGCGATTACATTTCAATTTAGTAATGCAGAATCTAGTGAGAGTGCTCTGTGTTACTGGGTGTGCCAGGCCGACTGAGATATTTGAAATGTCATTTATAACGTGGGTCGTTTTACCTCACTTACTCGTACCTACGCCTACTTTCTCGAGTTTCACGTTATACCGAGGTTTTTCGCCTCAATGGAACAGCAAGAGCCTATCGTCCCTCGCCATGCATTTCTAACGTACTCACAAAAATATTTCCTCTTTGTACAATTTCCTTTATAATGCCACGTTTCTGCAGAACTCGGGGATGCAGACGCTTTGACAAAATTTATTGGCAGTTCGTGGGTAGCATTTATTATTTTGATATAAATATGTAATTATTCTTTGTGTATGAGGTTCTCTTTCTGTTCTGAGGGATTACGCTTACAGAAACAAATAATAGCTTTTTGGTTTTTTAAGTACAAGGTTTAATAATCTAGTATATAAAATTCTCGTGTCACGGTGTGCGTAATTGAACAACTCCGAAACGGCTCGACCGATTTTCGTGAAATTTTATATGCATATTCAGTAGGTCTGAGAATCGGAAAACATCTATTTTTCATCCCCCTAAATGTTAAAATAAGGGTATTACCCTTATGTTTTATTTGGACAACATTTTTTGTTTTTATTTTTTATGATCATACAAAAATAACTACAACCCTAAATTTTCACCCTTCTACCATCAACCCCTAATTTTTTATGGCGGTACGAGGTTTGCTGGGGTAGCTAGTCTATCTATCTATATATATATATATAAAGGAAAGGTTGAAACGGCTGAAACAATTCGGATATTTTTTCATATGTTTCTTATAGCACACGGAAGATTTATATGGAATGAAAAAACGTAAAATATATAAAAAAACGGCCAAGTGCGTCGTGCCACGCGCAATATAGGGTTCCGTAGTTGCCTGTAGTTACCACAATATATTTGAGCGGGAGTCTTTATTTTCTATATCGGAAATTAGAAAAACCAATTAATCAATCTATGTATCGCAACTAAAATACCTAAATCAAATTTATCAAAATTATTTTTTAAATACGAATGATAATCGTGGATTTTTTATTGGTTTCCTTCCAGGCGGGACGGTTGCAAAATCCTCATGGATAGCCTACAGCCGGCTGCAAGGTTATGTCAGATTCTTACTGACTAACAGCTTCATCTGAAGCGATCACACCTTGAAAAGGGGATGATGCGGGATAATCGCCGATCTTTTGAAGTGCTTATACTGTTTATTAAAACGTAACGTTAGCGCGACTCAGAAGCCGTTGCCATTGGTACTCGCGGTAGCGTTGTGAAACTAATAACATTTTATTGTGTTTTTTTTTTAATTTGGTTGTAATGCACGGTTTTGCGTTACAATTACCTCATTTTTAGGGTTCTGTACCTCAAAAGGAAAAAACGGAACCCTGATAGGATCACTTTGTTGTCCGTCCGTCCGTCTGTCAAGGCCGTTTTTCTCAGGAACGCGTGGAGGTATCAAACTGAAATTCATATCTAATACTCAGGTCTACTGTCCCTTGGAGCTGTGAAAAAATCAAACCTCTAAGCCAAAGCAATCAAAAGATACAGCCGTTTATGCCGCAAATTTCCGCAAATTTGAGGCATAAACGGGCGAGTCCAAATCAAAACCTACAGGGTACTTCCCGCGAACTTAGAATCTTGAAATTTGGTACGAAGTAACGTCTTATAGTACAAATAAAGGAAAATTGCGAAAAACGTAAATTTTTAGTTACATCATATATACCTACAGGTTTGTACGGAACCATCGGTACGCGAGTCCGACTCGCACTTGGCCGGGTTTTTTGTCAGTGTTAATGTTTTCTTCTAAGGAATTTTCAATAGGTAAGAAATTTTCTTTAACCGAAGTTGAACGACTACTACTCTTAAACTAACAAATCTATCTTAACCGTTATAGTTTACCTTCAAAGTTCATAAAAACACTATTATCATGAATTTATCCAGATTTTTCAAGTCAATAGTTTAGCTTTTGTAGGACGCCCTACTCGAACAAAAAGTAGCACTTTAAAGTTCAATATTTCGCAAATGGATCCCTCAGTCGAAAAATAGTCTTAGGAACTCCTAAATTATTTTAAAGGACCTATTTAACTATATTCCTCACCTTGGGATATATGATGAAAAAAACAATCATCCTCAGATTACATGTAGGGGAGTTACCCTAAAAAAAGATTTTTCAAAATTTTATTCTACCATTTCGTCGGCGTGATCGATATACATATATATATATATATATATATATATATATATATATACATAGACTAGCTGACTCGGCGAACTTCGTACCGCCCAAAAGTAATAATTTGCAATAAATTAAAATTGCGACTATAATTTGAGATTTAAACTATCCTATCTCTCAAGTTGGATCGAACTGCACATGGTGTGCGAATTTTATTATAATCGGTTCAGTGGTTTAGGAGTCCATTGAGGACAAACATTGTGACACGAGATTTATATATATTAAGATATTACTTCATTAGATTTTATTCTTGTCAAAGTGTGATCGGATTCAATTCCTATTTTTGCAAATTTCCAGTATCGAATTTCGATATTTATTACCGTCATTGAGCACTATCTTACTAGACGTTTATTTAAATAAAAAAGTAATTTTATCATAAATTTGCTATCTACATAGTTCTAAATAAGAAGAGAGCAGTATATCTGCTTTAGTACCTACTTAGCATTTCTTATACATAACATTGTAATTGACCTTGCACTTTTCACTTAATTATAAAAATCAGAACTGTACTTTATGATAGATGGTTCTATTTTAATCAGCACTTAAGGCATGAGCGGCATACAAATGGCATACTTAAGTGAAGTGCTAAAACTTACACAGAATGAATCAAACTGAATGAAAATTAACCCTTGATGCAACAGTTAAGTAAAGTAATAGGATGTTCTTCGTGTTGTGATGGTATGTAATTCGGTTTTCAAAAGGTCCTGGGTTCGAGTCTAGGTGGGACAAATGGTTGTATGATGAGAACGAGCATTTGTACCTAATTCATGGCTGTTCGTATTAATACAAATAATAAAATTATGTATACTTTTTTATGTTTAAATGATGGCAAACAAACATATGGCCCGCTTGATGGAAAGCGGCTACCATAGCCTATATACGCTTGCGATACCAAAATTATCACTTTATATAGCAGAAAATCCGCTATGCCCTACCTCTCAAATAAGTGTCATTTTATGTATTTCTATCCATTACCCTTATCACAAGACCACACCCGGTTTCTGTAAGGCTTGTCGAATCATTAATCAACTCACATGCTTGTCAATTTAACAGCAATGTTTAATCGATTTGAGTTGCCGCAACGAAGATCTTTGATCATTTTGATTGAGGAATTATGAAAGTACTTTGTGTCAGCAAAAAAAATACAATCCAATAAAAAGATTATTACCTCTACGCTCAATCACGTAGGGGAAACCATCCAATTATTGGCATTTTTAAGTTTAGTTAGAAAAAACAAGGAAACTATAGATTATTCAAGCTCCGTGCATATTAAAAAGACAAACCTAGTATGGTTTAACATTTGAAAATTGGCAGCACTATTCTGATAATCTATTGTTTCCCTGGTTTTTTTAATTAAACTCAAAAGTGCGAATAATTGGAAAAGAGTGCCAATTATTGGTTAGTTTCCCCTATATCTGTATATGTTAAGGCTTTAATTATTATTTTAGTCACGATTTCGTATAATGTTATGTTGCTTTTAATTCCGCGATAAATGCCATCACTTTGTCATATTCTTAATTTAAAGCTGGGTCAATTGACAGAGTGCGTAGTCTATTTTTTTAGTGTAATTGACTTTTAGAGCCGCTCGGTGTGCAGTTTTTATGTCATTTCATAGAGACCCGCCTCACGCAGGACAGAACTGCTATATGAAATAACATGAAACAAACACGCCCACGCTCCGTGCCCCGCTTAATGTAGCGCACGCTCTCAATAACTCAATAGGGATGATAAGTACTGCTTTTTCTTTATCTATCAGGTATATTTATCAAAAAGTATTGAACGCGTATTTTTTCTTTATTCACATTATCAAAACATAACATAGATTTGAAGTGCGCCACTTCAAATCTAACTCCAACAAAAGTTAGGTAGTGTTATTATACTTTTAGGTCGTGTGATCTTCTGTAAGGCGGAGGTTACTTCCCTAGACGAAGACGCTCCAATTTGAATGGCAATCCGCTATACCCTAGGTACGTCTCTTAAAACATTTCTTTCATTTATATTATCGCATACATTACCGTCTTGTCCTTCAGCATGACGACTCTGCAGTTGAGCAGGGCCTCGGAGCCGACGTGAGCAGTCACTTGGGTGTATTTCTCGTCTTCGAAGAACGGTCCCCAGTGGTGCTCGTGGTGGTGGTCGTGGTAGCTCGGGTACTGCACATTGTGTCGCGGCTCTTCTACCTTACCTGTTGAAGAATTGTTTATTTACTATCGGGAAAAACAGATATTGTAATATTCAAAAAAAAATTAAATAATCCTCAATGGCCTGCGCAGAAAACGGACTGTGTCATTTCGCATCCTTCAATTCTGACGACGCAATTATTTTAAATTCTGACGACGCAGCCTGAAAAGGATGCGAAACGTTATAAACAAAAAAAATGATTTTATACTTTTTAGCTCATTTAAATAAAAAATTGTTTTTAAAAAAGTTTTTTACTTTTAATTTTTTATTTAGGTACACAATAACTTATTACAGATTAGAAGCGGAAGCGGTGTATAAAATGCGCTATTCCTTAAGGAATTGTATGGAATTTCCTTGGACTAAAGTCCAGGAAATTCCCTCCGATTCCGTCGGCCTAGGCACGTCTTAAAGTACTCTGACGACGAAATCGCCCGCGCCAACGTGCCTCCGACTCCTCCCACACAGGCCACAAACACCAACACTACACAGCTAGCACACTTGAATACTAGCTTAGCATTAGGCAGACACCGCACCCGTAGGATAAGGGTGCGAAAACCCGGTCTGGAATTAGGCGCATCTTACGCTGTGCTTCAAAATCTTTATCATGCCGACGGGCACCAATCGTTTTTTAAGGGAGAAAATTACCCCTTATTGTCAAAACTACAAAACTTTTGAAATAACATTTTAAATAAAACTTAAAAATCAACGCTTGCCAAAGCTTACTGAAAAAAAAATGTAGGTACCCCAAAAAAATTAGTAGCTTGACAGAATTATTAATTATTTTTTTTACTGTCTATATACCTATTACCAATTTGTATTCCACCACCATCATCCTGCACCACCATCACGACGCTTAGTAGCTATATGGTTGCGATCACTGCGGGATACAATGTATCGACAGTCTTTGAATTCATTATTAGCTATGTCTGCATGTAACCACGTCTCCGTTAGTATAATAATATCATAGTTATGCATCAAAATATTCATATATATTGAACAAAATTTTATTCTTAGCCCGCAGTTCTAATAATAAATTGAAAAAAAATTGCGACCCAAAATGGTTTATTTCCGGGTAAGGTAAGTTCTATTAAGAAACGGCAAGGTACTTTCGGTACCTCAGGCAGTTTATGAGCTGGCAACGAACCGCTTTTATTTTATGAGAATATTACAAGAGTTTAGAGAACAATTTGAGAGAGAGGCCGCTTCGGATTTCACACTCTAATTAGAGTCCCTGAATGAATCGGAAGAATAAAGCTGAAAATTTAAGCAAACTGCAGCCAACTATTACTATTCATAAGTATTAGTATTTTGTTCCTTAGAGAGCTCTGCGGGATAGAATATGAAAATAAGTTTAATAATACACCATCAATCTATTATTACAAATGTCTTGAAGCGATTTTTTTTTGCAAAAGCGGTGCCCTAAAAGTGTCCGATAAGTTTAAATATGTAAAATTACTAATATCGTGTTTTATACCCGTTCAAAAAGTATTTTGTGTGCGTGAAAATATAAGAAAAAACTATTAAACGTCAATTAACTTATTTTGTAATTATACCACCGTTCATTAATAAACTAATCTTAGTACTAAACCAAATATAAAACATGTAACTGATGATAATGTATTTATATTTGTCAAGTGAATAACGTTACAAGGAAAACGTGTGATTTTAACCGACTTTAAAATTAGGACCTTCTGAATTCAATTGTATTTTTTTGATAAGTCGGTTCAAATTTTAAAAGGCAAACGTTCAAGCGATTGCTGAAATTAAGTAGATCCTTTTGCAATGGCAAGTTATTTTGTTCTCAGTTTTTGAGACGGTAATTTCTATTTGACTGCACTACCGATTCAAATGTGCACTCTCGATCGATTTGACTCTCATACGAACTCAACCCGATGGATGAAACGAAAGTCAGGCCTTTATCAATTGCATAATCCCGTGTATATTTCATTTCCATCACAGAAATTTCATTTCCATTTATTTTGCCTTACAATTATTCAATTTGGTTAACCAATAGTTGCAATTCATCCATAAACATTCGACTACAGTACGCCTTGTTAAATAATTATGCAAAACATAGCGGCCTTCCGAGGGACGATAGTTATCTGCTTAAACTTTCAGAATAAATTGTTTTATTACTGCTTCCGGTTAAGTTACAATATTATTATGACAAAATACAGTTTAATGAACTTATAAATAGTGATTTCAACTTACTACTAACTATTGATGACGAACGATTTATAAAGTGAAACCTTTTCTATTTAATTTTATATCATTATATTCTATCATTAGTTTAGAATCCAATAAAATTTTAGTTTTATAGTTAGTAGTTATGTATGAGGAGCTCGATGGCGCAAGTGGTTAGCGCGTTCGGCTGCGATCGTTGAACTTAAGCAACTTTCGCAGTGGTCGGTCATTGGATGGGTGACCAAAAATTTACTATCTCGAGCTTCTCCGTGCTTCGGAAGGCACGTTAAGCCGTTGGTCCCGGCTGCATCTGCAGTCGTTAGCACCCACCAACCCGCACTGGGCCCGCGTGGTGGGTCATGGCCCAATCTCCCTATTCCATCCATAGGGAAGGCCTGTGCCCCAGCAGTGGGGACATCAATAGGCTGATGATGATGATGATGATGATGATGATGATGAGTTATGTATGAGTGGAAAACACACACGACTCAGATTTTTGTACATTTTATGGGTATCAAATAAATGTAATAGGTGATCTCTATAATCATAGTCACGCAAAAAAACTGCTTTTGTGATACTCTGTTAGATGCAAATTTTTTATTCAACTATATTATTAAAACCCGCCAAGTGCATTTCGTGCCACGCGCAGTGTAGCGTTCCGTAGTTGCCTGTAGTTACTACAATATATTTGAGCAGGAGTCTTTATTATCCATATTGGAAATTATAAAAACCAATTAATATCAATCTATGCATCTCACCTGAAGTACCTAAATCAAAATCAAACTGCGTCTCAAACTTAATTCGATATTATTATTATTTTAAATACGTATCACCCCCAGGGCTGTAGCGGTTATAAAATCCTCATGGATACCCTACAGCCGGCTGCAAGGTTATGTCAGACTCTTACTGACTAAAAGCTCAATCTGGAGCGATCTTTGCAATTGCTTATATACGTTAGCGCGACTCAGAAGCCGTAGTGAAACTAATGATATTTTATTGTGATTTTTTAAATAGCTTTTTTAGATTTCGTTACAATGCAACGTTTTACGCTACAATAACTTCATCACTATCACTATTAATGTTTTCTTCTAAGGAATTTTCAATAGGTAAGTAATTTTCTTTGACCAAAGTTGAACGACTATTACTCCTAAATTAACAAATCTATTTCAACTTTTATAGTTTTCCTTAAAAGTTCAAGAAAACTATTATCATGAATTTTTCCCGGATTTTCAAGCCAACAGTTTAGCTCCGGTGTCTCCCCCTATATAAGAGGGTGTGACATCCTACTCGGACAGAAATTACCACTTCAAAGTTCAATTATTCGCAAACGGTTCCCTAAATCGAAAAATAGTCTTAGGAACCCCTAAATTATTTTGAAGAATCTTTTCAACGATATTCCACATGATGAGGTAGATGAGGAAGAAAATATTATCCCCAGGTTACATGAAGAGGAGCTACCCTAAAAACATTTTTCGTAATTTTATTTTACTGTTTTGTCAGCGTGATCGATATACATACTCGTATCTCCACAAAATTACAGCTCTCTAAGGCTAATAGACTCCAAGCAAAACTGGGGACGGACAGACAAACATGACGAAACTATAACCAATTCTAAAAAGCAAGCAAAATAAGAAATAAAGGCAATGGATGAACACATGGGCTTCCCTGAACTCATACATGAATATATAAATGTGATAGCAATCGGAACGTACCATTTAAAGCTTTGAAGCTATCATGGTCTTACTGCAGCAACATAATAAAACAATATAGGTACCTATATAGTATATCATATTTTATTATCGACATTTACAAAGAGATTTAATTCACAATGAAGAAAAATGTTTTATTACAATCTTGATATGTGCCGTGCACAAGTTACTGCTATGCTTGCATTTCGTATAATTCTGAGGCACAAGTTCGGGCCGCCATATATATGTATCTATTATGAATTATTATAACAGATATCAGAGGTATAATTATATTTTTTATACATTTGGAATATACAAAAATCTGAAATTCATTGTTATCATTGATACCGTAGCTGGGGCAATGTTGCGCATTCTAATTTTACCACTTTTATTTTTGATATAACTTCTAACCTTACCTACCTCAACCGAGTACGATGATTTTTCTGTGCCCTCTCAGTTACTAAATAATCTATGCAAAAACAAAGCTTGACCTTTTTTGTCCCTTGATACACTACTAGAACTGCCATGTAGGTGGTCGCCACGAAAGAGGTTTTTCATACATTTTTTATACCATCGGCGTAAACCTACCGTTTCTATGAGCACGTCCGAATCATAAGCTACGAGAGTCATTCCTGCTTGCTCCTAGTGACTGCGTTTTGTCGCTTAGCTCGTACGTACACTTAAAGACCACTGTTTGTTCCTATTCCTGTTAAACTGAATGGAACGACAGCAATTCGCATATCTGAGCACCTAATGGTCACTATCGCTTACTGCTGCGAATATGTAATTTTCTATACGATAACTTTTCACCTATTAATATAAAATTTAACAAAAAGCAAGTTTACTAGCAGGATGTCATGTTATGTCACTTAATAAATGATTCTATGAAACTCTTTCCTTTAAGGGTAAACAACAGGTTTTGAAAATTGATCTGTAAAAAAATACGATAGAATGGTTACATATGAAAGCAACTTCGTAAGAGAAAATAAAATCTTTTACTTCGCAATGAAAACATTTGAATTGAACTCCGAACGGATTCCGAAGGAGTTCCCAGCTGCAAGTGTGTTACTCGCAAACTTTTCCCGATACAAATTTCACAGTTGAGTAAGCGATCGGTTTAAAAATGAAAAAAAGCCATCGGAAACACATCTAACACGAGCGCCAATGATCGATACTCCGTTGGGTAACAAATGGTCCGCTCTGACAGCCCCTTCCTGCCTGTTGTTATGTTTCCTGATATTTCTAGATACGCACTGGAAATCTGCGAACAGTTTAATTCAAAGGGAACGCTTGAAAGTTTATAGGGAGAAATGTTTGATCGTGATTTTACATTTTGATTAAATTCTCAACTGTAACGTACTATCTTAGTAACTACAAATACGTGGAACTTAGAACTCACTTATTGGAAAAAGCTAGTTTTACCCGTGAAGGCTGCTCTTTCGTTGCCTGTCAATTAAAAGAAGAAAACATTCAAATTCAACGTTAATTGCAATTTAACATTATTTAAGGGGCTAAATCTAGTTTTAGTTAAATTGAGATGAGCTAAATTTCTACTAGTGGGCCTTAGTTAAAAATATCATTAAAGTCATCTCTATTTAATTAAAAATAAACAAATTATGACGTTTATATGTTTTTAAAATTGTTGCCGTGTTGTGCTTAAGCAAATAACTTATATTTACTATAATATTTATATCGACGATAATAGTTCACTTTAAAGGAACAAATAGGTAATGTTGTTCTTATAAAAGATTTCATATTTACTCTTTACATCTCTTCTATCTCATAAATAAGAGCTGTTGTAGTTTGGTTATTATATTATGTAGCTGATGCATCAGAAATCTATCTCTGCCCATAATCACCTTGCCAGCTCAAACCTAATCACTTACCCCCATGAAGCTTGCTCACCAACAGAAAAAAACAACCTCAAAAAAAATCATTTGCTAAATGGTGGTATTAGTACAGTGGTCTTTTGAAAGATGGTGTTTACTTCCATAGATGGGCAAATCTATTTGAAGAGGTCAGGTAAGCTAATCCAGCTACAGATTTTTTGAAAATGATCACAGCAGTATACGAATTGATAAGCAAGTTACAATTATAAATGAATATACTAGTACATATTTAACTTTATTGACTAACCTTATTTCCGTGAAAAAATCAAGGATTTTTCATATATCATAACAACACGATATTGAAGATAAATACAGTTACTTTTTCAATTTAAGCACCAAACATTAAGCAGAAATAAATAAATCAAAAATATCAATTTATATGCATAACCTTGCCGTACCGTTTGTAGGTACGTGACTCAAACAAAACTGATAAGCGACATGACGAGAATATGAAATAATAAAAACAAAATTAACATTGAAATTGGCAGTGACATAATTTCGAACAAATTCTCGAAAGGTAAAAAAGACAGACTTTGAAATGCAAACATTGGTGCAGACTCACTTTGTAATAAGTCACTTCTGTCTGTGGCCCCTTCTCTTCTAATATTCTCTCGGAGTTGCTTCGTAATGTTCCTGAATATTTCTCTAGACAGCGCCAGGCTGTCTCTGTCATCGCTGCGTCTACTTCTGACACCATTTGACTGGTAATCCTCAGGAAACCGTAGTGGTTCTGTGCAAACGTACATTGCATTGTTTATTGTACTAAATAAACTTTAAAGAATACTAAAATTGGTTGGTCTAATGCAACAGTAGCAATCCTGCCTACCTTCTCCTCCAAGACCTATTGGATATAAATATATGTAATCTGTTGTCTAAAATCTAGTATTGATATCAATATTTTTAATAATAACGCATGCTGGAGGACGAATGTAAAAGTATCCCTAATACTTAACAGATTCATTTAAATCTAAAGAATTTTTGAAAGTATTTGTTTCTTAGGTTTTCACGCATATCACTCATTAAATAAAACTAGTTTTTTACGGGTTAATGCACGAAACTTTATTTATTTATTGACGTTTCGTAGCCTTTACAGGCTTCGTCGTCAGAATAAAACTTTTATTTGCAATAAAGCCTGTATATTATTTGCAATAAAAGTTTCATTCTGACGACGAAGCCTGTAAAGGCTACGAAACGTCAATAAATAAATAAAGTTTCGTGCATTAACCCGTAAAAACTAGTTTTATTTAATTTTTGAAAGGTTTACCTCAGATATCCTAATATAGAAATATTATACTATACATAAAATAAAAATCAAAGATTTGTACCTAAAACTCCACAGGGAACTTTTGTGAGTTAACCCCCCCCCCCCTACCTTCCTTTCCTTAGGCGCGTTATTATAGGTCGATAATATCGCAAGCGTTATTACGATATTTGCAGACTTAAAACATAAGCAGGCTTTGATGCTCACACATAGTTAAAAATCTCTATTTCCACGTTTTACTAAGTTGCAAAGCTTTATGTAAACGTACTTTGGTCAATGTAGCGGCACAGTTTATTGCATCAGCAAAAATATTTGTAGCCGTATACCGTAGCCGCATCAGTCAGTCGTATCCCTTTGCACGTGTAGGAGCAGTAGCATCGTAGCCGTATACCGTAGCTAGTCGAATCGGTTATTATCGTATCCCTAAACGCGTATAAGGATCAGTGTTGAGGTGTACTTTTTCCGGTTTGCACCCCCCCCCCTAGAAATGGTAATTCAAATCAAGATAAAGACCAGTAACGAATGTTTCTGTGGCTGCTGCCGCCCCTCAAAGCTACGTTTTTCTTTAGACAATTACATTTATTTTATAATTATTAAGGTTATCTACATTATTAATGACGAAAAATGCAACTCAACATGGAATTTAAAAAAGAAAATCGTATTCTAAAAAAACAGGATATTCATGTAGAAAAACAGTAGAACAGGAGAAATTTCAGAAAAACAGGAGATCTCCTGTAAAATCTGGAGACCTGGCAACACTGATAAGGATACTACGACTGACTGATGCGGCTCGACTATAAAATAATGATGATGATAATAATTTTAGGGTCCCGCACCCATAGGTTTAAAATGAAACCCTATTGATGTCACTCTGTCCTATGTCTGTCTGTCTGTCCGTACGTCACGGGTCTCTAGATCGTAAACGGAATGAGTTACAGAATTGAAATTTTGATATTTTATGATTTTGATGTTTTATTTTCAAATGCTTACTTTCATAATTTCTTATCAATAGGCGAATGTCTAGTTAAAAATTCAAATATAGTACATTACTGCAGAGGCAAGCAAGAGGCATTGATGCACGAACGTTTCGCCTCGGCCCACATACCTAAGTCCATCAAAGCCTAGTTGTGGCAAAGGCTTGTGTATTACTTTTCACAAATAATGCGCGGAAATTTAATTTAAGCAGTACCTAGACGGAACTTTTATTTTAAAATAGAATTACTTTTCAACCTACCTTAACATACTTTTTAAAATCAGTGTTGAACAACGAACAACAACACTCATTCATTTGTTTTTTTTTTTCAATAAACAGCTTTCTATTTTATTTTTAATCATACGGGGCATAGGAGCTGACATCTCACCTAATGGTAAGTGATCACTGTCGCCCATAGACACCTGTCTCTAGTTGGGCGAAAAATCTGGAAAAAATCATGATAATAGCACATTCACGAACTTTTAAGGAAAACTATAATGGTTAAGATAGATTTGTTAATTTAAGAGTAATAGTCGGTTTAGTAATAGTTGGTCCAATTAAAATTCCTACCTATTGAAAATTCCTTAGAAGAAAACATTAATAGTGACATAGATGAAGTTATAACTTAAAAAAAACTATTTAATAACCACAATAAAATTTATCATTATATCCACAACGCTACGCGAGTACCAACGGCAATGACTTCCGAGTCGCGCTATCGTAACGTTTTTATAAAAAGTATATAAGCACTTGAAAAAATCGGTTGTTGTATCGCATCATCCACTTCTCAGGGGATGATCGCTTCAGATGAACCTTGTAAGGCCCTTCTGGCCATAAGCATGAACTACGGGTGTGTTTTGTCAGTAATAGTCTGACATAGCCTTGCAGCTGGCTGTAGGGTATCCATGAGTATTTCACACCCGCTCCCCCGTCTGGGAGGAAACAAAAAAGAAGTCAGCGGTCATTATTCGAATTAAAAAAAAAATAATCGAATTGATTTTGAGGTTGAGACACAGTTTGACTTTGATTTAGGTATTTTAGCTGAGATACATAGATTGATATTAATTAGTTATTCTAATTTCTGATTAAGAAAATAAAGACTCCTGCTCAAATATAATATGGTAACCAGAAGCAACTAAGGAACCCTACACTACGCGTGGCACGACTCGTACTTGGCCGGTTTATCTTTCGATCCATCATGAGACACGTCATTGTCTAGAGTTCTTTGAGTATATTATAAGGAGATTGCTCGAATTGGCCTAAATGCACAAAGAATATTGACATATACGGTAATTCTTGGCGTAATTTATACTTTATTTTACAGTCATTACATTTTAACGGACACCTTTGTATAATATATTCATAAAATAAATTTTAATAAAAAGGACTTTTAATTTTACCGGTTTGAAAAACATACGAATCATTTTTAATGGCTATGGGTGTAGTAACATTCAGCCAAAGACTGATCGAAGTTGTTTATATATCATAAAAACAAATCTATTTTGTAAAAATCGATAAAATAAATCATTTTTTATTACACTGTGGTATTAATATCCACAACTATATTATCATTTTCAATACATGCAAATGTGCTCAGACGATTATTATAGATGGTAGGCGACATCACAAAGTCTATTGCCATACATTTTTCGCCAAACACCTCCATAAACGCCGGCTATTGTGTGCATTTTCACTGTCATGTTTAATGTCTTGTATATCCTGTGAGGTGTAGGTCAATAAAGAATATTATTATTAAACACATTATAAGGTGTGATACACCAAAAATCTAAAATATGGTTATAATATAAACATAACAAAAATAATGAAGCTACTGAAGATATGGCTGTATAACCTAAATCTCTTAGCTTTCTTTGGTTAACGAGAGTTTAAAAATTCTCTCTTATCTGTGGCTCATTCACAATCATCACACAGCTTCTGCCACAGAGTACCTTCCTTATTATAACCGGAAATGCATAGATGATACCTGATTTGAAAAAGTTACTCTTGTGCATTAACTTTAAAAACAGGCGACTATCTGTTAATCTACATGCTCTATATACCTGAATCTAATACATAATTTCGGTACTTAGCTTGATTTCCCTAGTTTCCTATAAAACTTATGTTTTCTATTATTTTAATACCTATGTACCTATTTGCAAACATAACCTCAAAATCGTTCAGTGTATATGGTTTATAGAAGTTCTCAGGGGTGTCCGTCAATAATATTCGTTTCTACAGTAATTTATATATAATTTCGAATCTAGGAAACAATTTTTCATAATTATTGGTCTTTAGGCCAAACATGTATGGAAGCTGAGCAACCTCCTTTGATTTTTATTATATTTTACTTTCAATAATAAAGAAATGGAGGGTCGTTATAATTTTTAGGCCATTTTTTGGGGTCTATTTCAAAATCGAAACTAGTTAAGAAAGTGAACTTTAGGTGTATGGTGGCCCTAAAGCAGTGAAGTCCCTCAACGGGGATCTCGCAGTTCCGCACTTAACAGCGTAGAGAGTATTCGCAGGGTTTTTTAGAGGATAGTATGCCGTAAGCGCTCGTAAGCCGCTTGATTGCTTAACGGCTTCTCCGTTTCGCACCCGTGAGATTTGCAAGAGGGTAGTCGTGAGGTCCGTTCGTTGGTGTGCCCCTTAAGGGCGCCAGCGTCTGTAAATAGAGGTTTTGCCTGCGTAATAAAAAAAAGGTGAATGATGGCCCATTTGCGGTATTTAGTGCACACATAACTGCGAATTCGCATCGTATCGCAGTTTAAACTTATTTTGTAAGTTCAGTGTTATACAAATTTCTTAAATTACGCCACTGTCATCTATAAATATTTAATCTTGTTTAACACAGGAGAATAACATCTCTGTAATCCGCTGGATAAAATTGTAAACGTATGCATAGCATTTTAATCCCCAATTTGAACTGCTGTATCGAAAACGAATTGTGTCAAGTGAGTTGTGTAGGCAAGAATTTTCTTTGTTATTTTACATTAAAAAGGATGCTTTATATAACGACAATTGTATTATCCCTCTCACTAATCGGTTCTGTTTGTTAATGGAAATTTCTTTGTGATTAAAATCTACTTTAATTTAATCTCAGTTCGAATTTGGGATCTCTTTCGGGATTATTATTATCTATGATAATCTTTTAACTTCCTAATGAGATGAGTATCCATTGACGATATTTCTTCCACGAAATCCGAAGAATATTTGGGAATAAAGGTTAATATTCTTCTCTTTATGAATCTCCTTATCATGAACAAATTTATATCGGATACGCAAGAACGACAACCTTATTTCGTCTAATTGTAAATACTTACTATTTTAGAGTTAAAGGCAACGCCATTTTTTCACATTGAAGGTTAATTAAATGAGATAATTTTACAATATCAAACGTTTGAAAAAGATCATAACTGCGAAGACTTCAGCCTGCCTCTGTATAAGCAGTTCGCTCCTTCAATGCAAAAGGGCCACAATTCAAAAAATGAGTTTT